AGATTTCCATGACCTGCAGGATCCTACACAACGCCGTGACCCCAGGAAGGGAAATCATACTGAAGTGTTTCATGTGGAAGCCATCCACCCCAACCGCCGAATTCACCTTATACCTTCTCGAAAGTCGGACAATCTCGTTGGGGTCCAAGGGGGGGGGCTCAGGGGCAGGGTCAAAATCGGCAATAGGTCCCACATCAAGCGGGGAGTCAGACGCTCGCCACAGCTGGGTAAACTTACGGCGTTCAGCCTCGAGCAGGGACCTAGGATCACTGACCGCGCAGCCGTTGGCCGAGAGAGTGGACGTAGGTTTCCAGGGCTTGGGTTCAGAAGTGACCATGTGGGCTCGCTTGGCCCCCTGATCAATGTTTTCTCTCAGCCAACTACGCCATGAAGCTAAACTGCGGCCCCTCGCACTGGCTTCGGCCTGCGCGACCACGTCAGAGGCCAAGAGAGACAGATCGAGAATATCCTGTTCGAGCTCTCCGCTCGAAGTCGAATCGATTTGGTTGACCATGGACTGCAGAGTGATGAGCAGTTCCTTGTGGGCCCCCAAATGCTCGACCACAAACGGGGGAGGGTGAAGAATGTACGACCTCAAAGCCCACACTTCATCGCCTCCGCTGTTCCTGGCCTTTTGGGGAAGGGTCGAAATATACACCTTGCAGTCCAAGATGCGATTATACAGCCACCTGACAGAGTACAAAAAAAGGGCGTCGGAGAGGTTCCTTATCCTTAGAAAAGACAGGCTTCCAAACAAGCTGAGGGCCCTTGCCTCTCGAGCCCCACACTGGCAAAACCGATTGGGTGGCGTTGGCAACCTCCACTTCGGCAAGGTTGGCCCACCACTTGTAGGTTCGATTAAGAAGCCTTTGAGTTTCAGCCCCCTTCCCCGCCCTGGCAGCTACCAGAGCCGCTTCCAAAACATCGAGAACAGGGTCCCAAGCGGGGGGCTCCCGAGTGGGCCCGATGGCCCTTTGGGGGGGAAGGGGAGGTGGTTTGCGAAATTCCAAAACTTTGAGCTGCGCAGGCGAGGGGAACAGCTCCAGATCCACGGGAGAGTGGGGGGAGAGAGGGGAATTGTGGTTAACAATCACCTTACTGACAACCTTCGCGATGCCTGCCGAGACGACAAAGAAATCTGAGACTTTGAGGCCCCCCGTGCTGCGGAGCGTGTAGCCTCCGTCTGTCGGGGTGATCATCTGGCCTTTGAACTCAGAAACGAACTGCGACTTCTGAAACTCACCTGGCGCCATGTTGAAGTCGCCTCCCGCTATGACGGGGAGATCTGAATGTGAAAGTCCTGCTCCGAAACGCGACAAGATCTCCACGTTGCGCTCAGAAAGACCTTCGACGTCGCGAAGGTAAATCGATCCGACAAGGACCTGAAAACCTCCTGGAATATCAATCACACAAGCTCCAGCACGATGAGGGGACAGTACGAAGCCCGACGACAGCGTGTGAAGCCCGAGGTACGATCTAGCCATAACTGCGACTCCTCCTGACGATCCAGTGCCCTCCCCTCTAGCGGCCGCCGCCCAACACGACTTCCACCCACGACGAAAGAGCCACTCTGAAGCCTTGGAGATGTCTTCATCTGAGCACAAGTGATGTTCTTGAACTAACAAGACGTGTGCCGTGGTCTTTGGCCGCCACTTATTCTTGAGTGACAGCCATCCTGAAACATTGCAAGTCTGAACACAGAGCCCGAAATCCTCCAAATCTGGCGGAGGTGGTGGATGGAGAGAGCCTCCCACAAGCACTCCCGCGGCCACATCCTGGCTAAGGAGAGGTAACGAGCCAGCCGACTTCAGCTGAGGTAGACTGGGAAGGATGCCGTGGAGCAGGAGCATCGGCAGGAGTAGCAGCAGCCGTCCTGGCCTTCTTGGCCGCTGCCTCGATGAAAGACGAGACGCGCTGCCTCGACTCACTCGAGACCTCCTCAGACTGTGCCTGCTGCCACTCACGTAAAAAGTTATTGAACGCTTCAGAGTGTCAGCAGCCTCGACCTGAGGCATTGCTTCATCAGGGTTAGCAGATTCTCCCGTCCCCACCCCAGCCTCGCCGCCCGTCCCCCCACCACTGCCAGGAGCAGCAGGAGCAGCTCCACTGCCTGCAGCCTGCCTCTGGGCGACAGATTGGCAGCTGGGCTTGAGCTTAGCCCAGCCCTCACGGATGGCGGCCAGGTCGCCCGACTCCAAGACGCTGTCGAAGTTGGACATGTGCCCCTGGAGCTCCGCCGCCTGCGGCGGGGGCGGGAGGTCGGCCACCTTGGACGCCAGCTCCAGGTACCTCGCCTTGAGCTGAGCCTGCTGGGTGGCGGCCTCCGCCCTCTTCTCTTTGAGCTCCGCGAGGCGCGACTCAGTGTCTGCAATCTGGGTGTCGAAAGAGTTGGGAGCACGCACATTCTTGTCGAGAGCCTGCTGGGCCTCTGACGCCTGCTGACGAAGGGGGCGTGCTTCTGACTGCTGCGAACGAAGGGCGGACGCCGACGCCTCGATGGAGCTGGCCACCGCGGCACGCTCGGGGAAGTCGTCCTTGAGCTGACCCATGAGCAGTTGAAGCTGAGCGAGGAGCGACGACGGATCTGCAGGATAAGCCAGGGCGCCTCCACGACCGCCAGGTCCTGCCCCGCCACCGCTGTTTCCTCCGCCACCCCCAAGCCCGCCCTTGCCACGTCCACCTTTAGGTCCTGAACCTTTGGGAGCTCCTTTGGGGCCTGGGACGGCAGGACCACCTTGCCACACACCCCCAGGAACACGATGCGCACCAGGAGATACATGTGGAATGGGAGCCCAACAATTCGCACACCATTTATACCATGGCTTGTTGCACTTCGCTGCGCCACACGAGAGACATTTCGCACCGATGACCTCATGTTGCTTCGGTCCCATGGGAGACGCAACGAGTGCTGCCTGACTGAACGAGCCACTTGACCCGCTAGCGCAGTGTGCCGTTCTGAAGTATACGCTAGCAAGCCCAAACACTTGGGCCAGAACGGCTAAGGAGGAGGAGGAGGAGGAGGAGGAGGAGGAGGAGGAGGAGGAGGAGGAGGAGGGTCAAGGGGGAGGAGAAGGAGGAGGAGGAGGAGGAGAGGGAGGAGGAGGAGGGTCAAGGAGGAGGAGGAGGAGGAGGAGGAGGAGGAGGAGGAGGAGGAGGAGGAGGAGGAGGAGGAAAAGGAGGAGGAGGAGGAGGAGGAGGAGGAGGAGGAGGAGACACGCGGGGTCTGCAGCCGAGGGGCTGCACTCGGGGGCGGCTCGCCCGCGCCGCCAGCCCCGCGGCCCTGCCGTCCGCACGTGCGGGGTGCGACGTACCTTCGGAGGGAACTGCTGGGAGGTCTTCGTCGGAAGGGCTAAGGAAGATTAATAATCTTCCGGGGATTAAGATTAGATTAGATCAATATTAGATTCAGATTAAGCCCCCGAGCGGGGCTTAATCTTAGATGATGAAGCCCCGTTCGGAGGGAACTACTGGGAGGTCTTAACCAGCCTTGAACCTATCCTTATCCCTAAGATGGGCGAGCAAAAAACGAGGACAATCTTAGGGACGGGCCCTCAGAAACTGAGGGCATCCTTAAGATCGGCATCGAGGTGAGGTGACGTCAAACAGGGGTATGTTTCAAACTGGTAAGGTCTTCGTCGGAAAGACTAAGGAAGATTAAGCCCCGCTCGGGGGCTGCTGAGCCGGAGAAGGCCTCAGAGTAAACGGGATTAAGCTGGATTGAGCAGGATGAAGCGGGGTGAAGCCGGATCAAGCGGGATGAAGCTGGATTAAGCCGGATTTCGGACCAAGGCAAAATCAGAATTTGACCTCCCAGACTCCCAGGAGTTGCATCCGAACGTACCCCTTTTCTCCGCACGAGAACGCAGCTCGACGAAGCAAGCATGCAGCCCACCCCCGTAGTTTGTCTCTTGCAGAGCGCGGCCGGGAAAACGTGAAACGGGGGAGGGAGCAGGAGAAGGACGACGACCACGACGAAGGAGGAAACCCGTAGCCAACAAAACTGCATGAGCATCAGACGTCGGCGCGCTGAGGGGGGGGCGCGGGCGAGGGCAGGCCCTCTCTCAGGAAGCCGCCGTGCCTCGCAGAAGCCCGATGGCCCTCTGGCATGCCCTTCGGCGCCTTCGGAGCAGGCTCGATCTCAGGAGGCCTCTGCGAAGGCCCTCCCTCCCTGCCTTCCCCTGAGGGCGCCCCGCCGAACTATGGCCACGTGCCGGCGTCGGCGTAGCAGAGTGGCACAACATGTAGAGGAGGAGGAGGAGGAGGAAGAGGAGGAGAAGGGGGAGAAGGAGGGGGAGGAGGGGGAGGAGGGGGAGGAGGAGGAGGAGGAGGAGGAGGAGAAGGAGGAGGAGGGGGAGGAGGAGGAGGAGGAGGGAGGAGGAGGGAGGGGGAGGGAGGAGGAGGAGGGAGGGAGGAGGAGGAGGAGGAGGAGGGAGGAGGAGACGTCCGCTCCTCCGCGCCGCACGCTTCGCTCCTCGACGCCCGCCCTGCGCCGCCGAGGGCCCCGGGCCAAGGGCCGCCTCTGGGGGAGCCGACCCAGACACTCCGCCCGGGCGGGGGGTCACCGCTGGGACGAGCACAGTGTCATGGCACAGGTGGCGCAAGATACTCCAGATTTCGTAATAAAGGGAGAGGGGGTCTCATTTCAGGGGGGGGGGTCTCTTCCAGGCTATCTTGGAGGGCCTGGGGGGGTCTGGGGACGATGTTTTGGAGGGTTCTCCCACGGGGGAGGTCCGAAATGGCTTGTCTTGGAGGGTCCAGACCCCCTCCCTTTTATTACGAAATCTGGCGTACGCTCAGGACTTTCGCAGCATCTAGTTGCCCTCGTCTCTGCCGCCCGCGTGGCACATCAAAGAATCTGGGCACTCCAAAATCTCTGGGAATAGATCATCATCCCGACCTCCTGCTCCCATGAACGGAGAATCGACGCGCACGCCGCCGGAGATAAGCAAGCCGACCCGTCACCCCGCGACAGTGGTTGGAAGAGGCCCTGGGCGCCCCGCCTCGTCCCCGTGCTCGTAGAACGACAACAAGGGCACGAGCAAACTGTGCTCGACCGGGGCGTCCCGCTGCCCACGTGCATACGCCTGTGGCCATCACTACTACGGCGAACGCCATCAGCATCACCACCAGCATCATCATCATCAGCATCATGATCACTGTGAACCTCATCCTGCTCCTCCTCCTCCTTCTGCTCCTCCTCCTTCTCCTCCTCCTGCTCCTCCTCCAGCTCCTCACCCATGTCGTCGGCGACGCCGTCGCTGTTGCCGATGTGGTGGCGGCGGCGCTCGGCAGCTGCAGTACGAATGGTGGCGTTTACTGCGCATGGTACCAACACTGTGATAACAGCAAGCATGATATTACTTGTAGTCGTAATACCGGTAGTTGTAGTAGTCGCAATAATAGTAGTAGTAGACGTAGTAGTAGTCGTAATAGTGCAGTACTAGTCGTACTAATACATATCGTAGAAATGGAAGTAGTAGTAGTAGTAGTAGTAGTAGTTGTTCAAGTGGTAGTAGTACCAGCAGTAGTAGTAGTAACAGTAGTACCAGTAGTAGTAGAAAAAGAAGAAGTAGTAGTCGAAGTAAATAGAAGAATAAGTAGTAGTAGCAAGAGTAGTAGTAGTGGTTGTAGAATACAAACAAAACGTATTAGCAATATTAATGGCGTTCGTACAAACAGTGGTCGTAGAGGTCGATTAATAGTCGTAGTAGTTGTAGTAAAAGCAATTGTACGGGTGGTGCGAATACCACTAGTACCAACCGTACTACTGGTAGTAGTGGTAGTCGTAGTAACAGTCGTAAAACATGATAGTAACAACCATATGAATAGTAGTGGTAGTAGTCGTAGTAGTAGTAGTAGTAGTAGTAGTAGTCGTAGTAGTAGTAGTAGTAGTAGTAGCAGTAGTAGCAGTAGCAGTAACAGTAGTAGTAGTAGTAGTAGTAGTAGTAGCAGTCGTAGTAGTAGTAGTAGTAGTAGAACTAGTGATAGTAGTAGTAGTAGTAGTGGTAGTAGTAGTGGTAGTAGTAATAATAGTAGTAGTCGTTGTATTCGTAATAATCGTCGTAGTCGTGGTCGCAGTCGCAGACGTACTTGTAGTACGACTGCTCATAGTAATATTGATAGTCGTAGTCGTACTTGTGGTAGTAGTGGTAGTAGTTGTTGTACGAGTAAAACATATTGACCACCACTGTAGTCGCACTTGTGGCCGCAAGAAGAATAACAAATCTACTAGTAGACGTAGTAGTAGTAGTAGTAGTAGTAGTAGTAGTAGTAGTAGTAGTACTAGTAATCGTACTAGTCGTAGTAGTAGTAGTAGTAGTAGTAGTAGTAGTAGTAGTAGTAGTAGTAGTAGTAGTAGTAGTAGTAGTAGTATTAGTAGTAGTAGTAGTAGTAGTAATAGTAGTAGTAGTAGTAGTAGTAGTAGTAGTAGTAGTAGTGGTAGTAGTAGTAGTAGTAGTAGTAGTGGTAGTGGTAGTAGTAGTGGTAGTAGTAGTAGTAGTAGTAATAGTAGCATCCGTAGTACTAGTTAATGTCACCGTAGTAGTGGTAAACTTGCTTTGGAATGGTACCATATGCGCCTGCAGTATTGGTGGTACGCAATGGCAATCGCATTCGTACACCATGCAATCGTAAAGAGAATGGCCGTGGTTCCAATCGTGGAAAGCGTACAAATGGCGAACGGCAGTGCACAAATAATAGTACGTGGTCGTGGTAGTCGTAGAAGTAGCGAGTCGAGACAGTAATAAACATAGTAACGACAGAAATGATTGTAGACGTAGCAGCCGCACTAGAACTAACAGTCGTAGGTAGGTCGGCAGGTAAGGAGGTAGGTCTGTAGGTGACTGGGTGAGTGGACAGGTCGGTCGACAGGCACGGTAGTAGAAGTGAAAGCCGTAGTAGTAGCAGTAGTAAAAGGAATGGCAGAAGGTGGTTCGATCTGTAAGTAACTCGGTGGTCACTGGAGGTGGGAGGCAGGCAGGTAGTATTAGAAGAGACCGTGGTATTAGAACTAGTAGTACTACTAGTGGCAGTGGTAATAATAGTACTTGTGGCCGTAGCAGTGTAGGAGTACTAGCAGTCGTAGTAGCAGTGGTAATAGTAACCGTAACACTGGTAGCGGTAGTATTAGCACTCGTGGCTACCATAGCAGCAGTAATAATGAACGTGATCGCAATAAGGCTGATCAGGATACCAATAGTAGAAGTAAGGGTAGCAGGGATCGTAGTCGCAGTCGAAGTGGCAGTAGTAGAAATAGTAGTAATAATAGTACCAGTCGTACAAGTAGCTGTAGTATAGAGTGAGTAGCAAGGGTAGTTGTAGTCGTAGTAGCAGTGGTCGTAGTAGAAGAAGTGGTAGGCATAGGACGAATACTAGTAGCAGAAGTCGTGGCAGTAGTTCTAGCAACAATATTCGTAGTAGTAGTAGTAGTCGTAGTAGTAATAATAGTAATATTACAAGTCGTACTCGTAGTACTAGTAGCCGTAATCGCAGCCGTACTCGTACTCGTAAAAAGTGTGATAGTACTCGTGCTCATCGTACAAATACTCGTTAAACTAATACATCTAATATTAACAATGGGTCGTCGCGGTACTAACAATTACCGTAGAACGAGACGGGATAGTACTAGCACTGGTAGTGGTAGTGGTGGAGGTAGTGGTGGAAGCATGACTAGAAACATGCACGTAATAGTAGTAGTAGTAGTAGTAGTAGTCGTAGTAGTAGTAATAGTAGTTGTAGTAGTACTAATAGTAGCCGAAGTAGTCGTAGCAGTCGTATTAATAGAAACAGCACTAGTATCAGTAACGGTAGTATTAGTAGTAGTAGTAGTAGTAGTAGTAGTAGTAGTAGTAGCGATGGTAGTAGTAGTAGTACTAGTCGTAGTCGTAGTGGTAGTGGTCGTGGTAGCGGCAGTGGTGGTGAATCGTCGTCGTAGTAGTAGTACTCGAAGTATTCGTAGTCGTGGTTGCACAAGTACGATTAATTATAAGAAGAATGGAAATCGTAATCGTAGTAGTAGAAGTAGTAATGGTAGTAGTAATACAAGTAATACAGAAGTAGTAGTAGTAGTAGCCCAACTGGTAGTAGTAGTCGTAGTATCGGTTGAACTAATAATCATAGTAGTAGTAGTTGTTGTTGTTGTAATAGTAATCATAATGTAGAAGTGGTAGTAAGTCGTAACAGTAGCAGGACTAGTAGTACCAACAGTAACGTAGTAGTAGTAGTAGTAGTACTAGTAGTAGTAGTAGTAGTAGTAGTAGTAGTAGTAGTGGTAGTAGTAGTACTCGTAGTAGTAGGAGTAGTAGTAGTAGTAGTAGTACTACTACTACTACTACTAGTAATAGTAACAATCGTAGTAACAGTCGTCGTCGTAACCATGGTAGTATCAGTAATAAAGCGGGCAGCATCGCAGTAGTAATACTAGTAGTAGTCAGAGTAGTCGTAGTAGTAGTGGTGGTAGTAGTAGTAGTAGTAGTAAAAGTACAGAGAGTTTGAAGAACAAAAAGGGTGTTTTGAAACCATTGGTTTTTTAATTATGGGTTGTCGCGTAGAGTTTGGAGCGCCGCGCCGGGGTGAGCCACAAAACTAGGATTCAAAAAACAGAAAAAAACGCAATGCCGCGGAACTGAACAAAACATTGTTTTCCATGATGAAATCTGCGCCAACCCGCGTGAAGCCTTAAATGCTATTCTAGGTGGGCACCCCGAATGAATATTTTAAAACGCATTTTTAGGGTGGCATCTTTTATGGGGGGGGACGCTGGGGGGTTTGTTCGGTGGGTCGTGCTGGGGGCAGGGGGGTTTTGCCAGGGGTGACGATGGGGCTGTGGGTGAAGAATTAAGGAGAGATTTGAATGACGATTTTGGCTGGCGGGGCTCCGGCTCCGGGGTGAAGATGTACGCAAATATTTAAATCAAGATGTAGGCTGGCGGGCCTCCGGGGTGAAGATGCACGTGAAGATTTACATGAAGATTTAGGCTGGAGGGGCTGCGGGGTGAACAAAAAACAAAGTTAAAACGACAACGTTACGAAAAAAACAACTAAACAACGTTTAGGGTCACTCCTGGGATGAAGATTTAGATGCAAATTTGAAGCCTGGGTGGAAATGTACGGCCCCGGGTGAAGATTTAGGTGAAGAATCAGCGTCTGGAGTGAAGATTTGAATGAAGATTTGCGGCCTTGCGTGAAGATTTAGGTGAAGATTTAGGGCCCTCGGTGAAGATGTAGATGAAGATTTCGGGCTCTGGGTGAAGATTTAGAGCCCTGGATGAAGATTTCCGGGCCTGGGTGAAGATTTAAACTAACGTTTAATGCCCACGGGAAATATTTAAGGGCCTGTTTGAATATCTACATTAAGACTTAAGGCATGGGCGCAGATTTATGGCCCTGGGCAAATCTGCAAATGAAGATTTAGGGCGCAGGTTGAAGATTTAGGTGAAGATATAAGGGGTGGGTGAAGTTTTGCGGTCGTGGGCTAAGATTTTGGTGATGATTCAGGGTCCTGGGTGAAGATTTAGTGAAGATTTACGGTCCTGGGTGAAGATAAACGTGACGATTTAAAACCCTGGGCGAAGGTTTCGGTGAAGATTTCGGGCTCTGGGTGAAGATATAAAGCCCTGGCTGAAAATTTACACGCTTGGAAAAAGATGTACATGAATGATCAATGCCCTGGGTGAAGATTTAAAGAGCCTGGGCGAATATTTAGATGAAAATTCAAGGCCAGGGTAAAGATTTACGCCCCTGGGTGAAGATTTGGTGCGCTGGAGGAAGATGCACGCGAAGTTTTGCGGCCCTGGGTGAAGATTTAAGTGGAGATTCAGGGTCCCGGGTGAAGATTCAGGCGAAGATTTACGGCCTTGAGCGCAGATATAAACGAAGAATTAAGGTCCGGGGTGAAAATTAAGTGAAGATTTCGGGCTCTGGGGGAACAATTCGAGCCCTGGGTGAAGATTTACGGGCCTGAGCGGAAATTCACGTGAAGATTCAGTGACCTGTGAAGATCTGGAAGAAAATCCGGAGGAATATCTGGAGGAAGATCGCCGTGACAATTTGTAAAATTTGGTTTCCGAGTACCATTTGCACGATG